CCCGCGGGCGCCACCTCGGACGCGGCGGGCACAAAGCGCGGAGCCGGCGGCACCTGGGGCGGGGAGCGGGGGGGACCCGCGGCCGCGCAGCGCCAGGTGACAATAGCTCGGCGCTCGTGCGGCTCCGCGTCGCCGCGCGCAAACGGTGCCGTGTCCAGCGCGGCGTGCGCGGGTCCCTGTGTGTGCGTTTGGGGCCACTTGATTTCGCGCGTGGAGCTTCCCGAGGTGGCCGCAGTGTCAAAAGCGGCGGCTGGGTTTGCCCGGGAAAGGTCCTGCGCTCCGGCGCGCAGTTGCTCGCAGCGCTGCGCTCCGCGGAGCCAGCGCAGCGCAGCACCTCTCTGCCGCTGTTCCCCACGAGGAACGGGCAGCGTTGCATGGATTCTCCCTAAAAACTCACGGCGAATTAAGCGCTCCGTCACGAATAAACCTGGTTTATTACGGTGCCAGGTCTCGGCTTCCAGAGGTGCCTTCCTAGAGCACCTCTTGGAAACACACATTCAAAAGCGAATTTCGCAGGCGCTGCCGTGAATGGCAGCGGGAAGGTGCCTACATTAGCACGCCCTTCATTTCAGCATCATAAAACGCCTCGGATTAAATGGAAACTCGCTCCCTCGCAGCCGCATCTCTCGCCACGCGCGGTTATTAACATCGGCGCTTGCTCGCGGGAGCGCCGCGCTCCGCGCGCCCGCCCTGCGATGGGAGGCAGGTAACAAACGTCCCCGAGGAGCCGCGGGCGTTTCTAACGTGCTCTGGCCGCAGATTGCTAAGGCAGGTAGGTTCGCTTCTTGCTTGGTGTGGAGGAGCAGGGGAGCGCGGCTGCCCGAGGAGCGGGCACGGGCACAGTCGCATTCCCGAGCCACGCAGGGGCTCCGCGGGGCCGATAGATGAGGGCGGAATCGGGATGAGTTTCGGGGAGCTGCGCGGGCGCTGCGGGGCTGAGGGACCTTTCCCGAGCGCCGGGAGTTTTCCCGGGACTTCCTGCAGGAGACATCGCGCCTCTGATCTCTGTATTTAATGGCCAGGTCCTGCTTTATGCTTTATARCGTGTTGACAAGTTTTCTAACAGACTTTCTGAAATAATGCACATATATTCACGTCGGTTAGAAACTCCGCAGTATTTTTAGAGTCGAGTAGATCTATATCCTAATGCACTGAGAGGGAGTGTAAATCATAGAGGATTTCATAGCCCTTTCAGTAGTTTTCTGTATGAAGTATGAGCAGCGTGGCCTCCAGACGTAACCTTTTAGAAAAAAAAAAAAAAAGCGCTTTTATTTTATGGCGTAAAGTGCTTTTAGCTGCGGGGCTCTGAACGTGAACGCGGTCAACAAGCAGCTCGTGCGATGGGCTTCGCTGCGGCTCGAGCCCCGCCGGCCCGGGGGTGCGGGACGGGGTGGACATTCCCCCCCTCCCCCCGGAGCGGCCGGGACGCCGCGGGAGAGGCGGGGGCGGCGGGACCCCCCCGCTCCCGGCTCCATCCCGCGCTCGCGCCGCGGGCAGCGCCTCCCTCGGCGTGGCCGGCGGGCAGCGCTGCGCGGGGCTGCGGGCAGCTGGCAGCTCTGCGCGGGGCTGTGAGCAGCGGGCAGCTCTGCGCGGGGCTGC